AGCACATACAGGAACTCTAGGATGATTCGGTTGGGAGCGCCTCCCCGCGGATAGACGCCGCCTCCTTCTTTTTTTCCGATTACGGCCTCTCCGCAAGAACGGGACGGAAGAGAAGGCCATAGCGCTCCGAGCGGCACGTCACAATGGCGGAGGAAGGAAGGCCATGGCGCAACTGCGTGAGAAAATGCACTGTCGACGCGTATCGGCGCATTAATGTTCGTGCGCGTTTATCCGACATTAATACACGTTTTAAAAGCGCAGTCTTGTATAATTTATTATATATATATAATATAAACGTAATATACAACGCGCTACCAAGGTTGAAAGTATCAAATTTATATTTTTGATTATCCCCGTAACCGCGGGACTAAGCGCAGTCCCGCAGCTCCTCACACTTTTCGAATGAACCGGCTAGAGCACTGTATAGCTCCTTCAGAGCAGAGTACCGCAATCTAGAACGCCGTCTCTCGGCGATTAGCGGAGAACGCCCGGGGGTTCCAACTCCGGCCGCAAATGCATGGGGAATGGGAGAAAATCGCTGCTTCCTGATTATTTTGGGGATCTATGGAACGACAATAGTTTTTGACACGATAAGGGAATAGTTTACAATATTTTGCGCTAAGATGTGCGCCATGAAATAACTTAATTGTTTTTAAAAAAAATTGCCTGAGCAGCATCATGCAGCAGACGACGCGGCGACGTCACACCGTTCACGTGACCCGCTCCGGCCAATCCATAAAGTCCATCTCCGCTGCGTAAAACAATCGTCTGCTTCAAACGCCATTGCTTTGAAAATTGCCTTCGCAAAATTTTCACACGCATCCAATATTATTAAAACTATGATAAGGTGTTCATTGCTTTACCAACTTCACGACAGACTAGTTTTGAAAAGTGTGAACTTGGCGTTTATTTTTTAATCAGCCGTGCTGAGACGATCTCCATGTATTCTCCCATAGGGCGGGCCGCCTCCTGGAACCCTGAGTACCACGTGACTCGCGCCGCGCTGCTCTGTCGGCCATGTTGTCGGCGAAACACGCGGATCAAAGGATTGCGCTACTCTGCTCCGTGGGAGCTATATAGTGCTCTATAACCGGCTCCGAATTTCCGATGCGACGTCTTCCCTCGTAGGGGCTCTGATTCTAGTAAATTCGCGTTGCGCGTGAGCTGCTGACTGCATGCAAAGGTACGCTGAGACATTTCAGAAGGGATTGATTGAGATTCGGATTGAAATTGGAGAAAGATTCAGATTGGGAGAAAAATATTTCGTAAGATAACTGCTGTTATTCCAAAACGTCACCATATTGTACTAAAGTTTACTCTCTGGGTAAACATCCCCCGCCTACGTTCACACCGCTTCTCGGCGACCGTATGCGGCTGCTCATTACAAAACTGTTAACCCACTTGGCCCCACCGTACACGCCGCTTCGCGGCGTCCAGCCGGCAACCCAAGCTAACCCAGGCGTCCAGAAAGGGAGTCCCATACCATTTAGTTTTACCAAAGTTTCGTCGACAACATTAGTCTTTTATTCTCTGTTCGATTTATTCTCTGTGGATCGAAACTGGGTCCGCTGCGTATGCAGCAGGTACCTTTCCTAAGCTGCGCTACTTTTTTTTTTTTTTTTTTTATTGTAAACTGAAACGCGTTGTAAACATTTCCGGTCGAGGTGCAGGAGCTCGTGCGCATAGCTTAACTCATATTTTAAAGCACCTACGGTTATTTTTGTAAAATATACTTGTCACGAGAGCGCATAGTTTCGGTTCGCTTCAACTCGCTTGGTGCCAATTTCCAAGCTATGCACCCCTGCGAAAACGGGTCATGATTCTTTATTGGGACAAACAGACGGGACGGCAAAAGCGGACCTAAAAAACGGGACTGTCCTGGCCAAAACGGGACGTCTGGTCACCCTAATTAACAGTCACTTACCCATATACGACATAAGTGGCTTTGTTAGGCGTAGCACCATCCTGTGGGAGTACTGGATACGTTGGACGTTATGTTTAATTTGCCGGTGTCTCTTTTCCAACGTACGCACTAGACGCATCGCATCGTGTTTGCGCGTTGGATCGATACAGGCGTTCTCGGCAACTTCTGTACAGGTGTGGGCTTTATTATTGGTAATCTGTGTAGAAAACGCCCCAACAGCAAGACGCCTGAGATTGTTGAAAATTACCCGAGACATGTGATGCGACTAGTGCGTACATTGTAAAAGAGACACCAGTAAACGAACCATAACGCCCAACGTCTCCAATCCTCACGCAGGATGGTACTGCGCCTAACAAAGTCATTTAGGTGGTTTATCAGCTAGTGGCCGTAAATGGATGACCAAGTCTACAAAATTATAAAGTGCGAAGGAATAAATTTCTAGCTAAAATAGTGCTTATTACGTTTAGAAGAAAAAAAAAAACCAAAAAACTCTCGATTTTGATTTCTTGTGCACCGAAAAGTCTGTACACCGAAAAGTCAGTACACCGAAAAGTCCGTGCACCGAAACGTCCGTGCACCGAAAAGTCCGCACCGAAACGTCCTACGCCGAAACGCCCTACACCGAAAAGTCCTAGACCGGATTTTCTTATAGAAATCGCGTCCCGCGGGCGACGGAATCAAATGCGAGCTTGAATTGTGAGCGTCTGCTATTTCATGAAGGAAGCAATCGACAAACCGTGCCTTATTTGCAGGTTTTAAGTCGCTCTGTTGCCGTACAGACGCTGAAATATGCCAGTGTGTAAAGAAATGCTCAGAACAGACGCATCAGCGGCCCCCGAGATGTTTTTCACCATACGTGTGCGGGTGAAAAATTTAACATTTGTCGACAAAACTCTTCCAGCAGAAACCTGTGACTGCACAATAAGCATCAGAGAAAGCTAAACATAGTGACTTTGCCCGAGGCTTAAGCAACATCATCATGTTTAACATTTACCTACGTCAGCTAACTTGCCCCGTCGTATTTCGTTCGAGAAAGCTCGTTCTCGACGCCCTCACCAAGGCTGATATCTGATCCACCTCATGACGATCGAAATTGAAAGTCCCACGAAAAGTTTTGCTGGATATTCCAACAGACTAGTTTTAAGCCGTACCCTTTCACGCATAATACCATGCTCAAACGGATCAAGCTTCTGCTTGGACAGCAACATCAGTTTTCTTCAATGTAAGATATCGAAACCAGCTGCTTTGTAGACAGTTGGTTGCGGAAATTTACGCTGTCTGTAACTATCTCTACGACAACCGAGTAGCTTGAAGGCATCGCAAATATAAACTACAGGTTGCAGCGACCAACGTTTGTGGATAAACGTTGGTAGCGACTGCACTCTCGCATTCTCACCCATCACTCTGAACGGAAAAGCGCTAGTTTCTGTTTGAGGTTGGTGCCTTTTCTACAACATAGATGGCGGCAGCATCAGTTTTCTGCACTCGGTGAATCTGGCGTGTTCGTTTGAACTTTGAATCCAGTTCTCCGTGCAACACTCTGCGAGTGCGATGCATTCTGGGAGAGAAATTGAACGGTGCCAGTCGGTGTGAAACGAACTCGCTCACGCCTTCCTCGTACCATGTCATACCGATCACTTAGCGGTGTAATATTTTGCCCGTGTAATGAAATGTTTTCGGGACCCGTTGCTATGTGCAGCTTTCAATCTAGCTAATAAGACACGCTTATGTGACTAAAAGCACGTTACGACGATCGATCCACGCGCGTTGCCTTCGCTTCGCCGCGCGCCCCCGATGGCCTTCCCTCGCGACGTCACGAGTAGAGCGCTACAGCCTTGTCTTCTAGGAGGTGTTGGCCGCAGAAGCGTTCGCGCGCTTCCGGATCTCGGAGGCCATGATATCTAGTCCACCATAGCCATGATTTAATATGTTATATGTCTACTGCGAAATGAAACTGCGAGAAGGCGCCACCAGCTCTTTCAAGCTTTGCAATTCCCCTGGCAAATGCCGAGTGCTCCGCGCTAGCGGTCGTCGAGCGGTTGGCCTCCGTGAGCGATCGGTCACGTGGTCCATCCCAGTGCCACCGCTTCCAGAGCGTCTGCTCTCCCTTTTGAACAGTTGCGGTTCCCATTGCTATCTTGCTGAAAGCATGAAGTTCTGATCGGGACTTTATGCTTTGACAAAAAATTGATTGTTTACAACTTGATTAACGGTGACCCCGACGTTAAGACACCATTTATTTTTCCTTACAGTTATATAAGCCCGATGATCGAAGACAACTAGAAGTACTTGTACGAGCCGTAGGATGATATTAAGCAATATCAAACACATATGCCATAAAGCGATCGTCATCTCCGAAGGCGACTTCCATCTGCGGAGTATTTGGCGTGTTGTCTTCTAATTATTCTAATTACAGTACAGAGACCACAAAACGAACAAACGACATATATCTAGCTCTTCATCCGAATTGGTGCGCACAACGCCATCGACGTAACGCGGTATCTTGGGCCTCTTCGCTAGCCAGCCAAACGACTCGGAAAACACTCCGCCGAGAACGGCTGCCTCGTTGTCACTCGAGCTGGAGCTAAGCTTGTATCTTCGTCGCTGTCACTGCGTTTTATTAGACCTCCTGAAATTAACTACAACGATATGTCATCGTCGCAGTATGCTCGGGCGAGTCGGTCATGACGAGGGGAACGAAAACAAGCGAGAGTCCACCCAGATATCGAAACAAAAAAGCCGCGAAACTCCTTCGTTCCCCCGCGGGAATGTCGATAACGAAACTGAAACGCTGCGAGAGACGGCTACAGATCGTACTCCTCCAAAAAAGGCTGCGCGGAGAACTACTCCGGTCCGCTCGACGCGCTCCGCCACTTTTCCACGGAGCAGTTGGAACCCAGAGCTTGCCGAACGGCTCTGTTGGAGCCGCTCGGCAAGCGCCCCACTGGCCCTCAAGGGGCTATTAAATTTAATTAATTTTTGTCTTTCTTTTTTTTTTTACAAAAATACATAATTTTTGGTCGTCTAAACAAAATCTTAGCTCGATACGTCAACGTTTTTCTCATTGGACGACAAAGCAGGCAAAACCGGAAGCTCCAACTTGTCCGGAAACACGTCGTGCCTCGCTTGTAGTCAAGAGCCGTGCCACACGGGAACACGTCCACGCGTCCACGCCACATCGCCGCACTACGGAACGCGCCAATTGCCATGGCGACCGCGTATGTTGTTGAAGTTTTGCCGCGTTTTCGGACGCTTCGTTTCAGAAGTTTCAAGGATCGGTTGAAAGGTGCGTCGATGCACGTTTATACAAAGACCCTAACTGGCGTTTCTTGCAGGTACGATTGCTGTCATGCGGGAGGCGAATGGCCGAACTGCACGTTTTCGGCCAGATATTAGGAGCGAGAGGCTTCGACGGTTCCAACCTCTTCTGCAAGTGGAAGCTAATCTTCGGTGAAATATTATCATTTCTGGCTATTGCCTGGCTTTTCCTGGTTCTTACGAACGATCTCGTTTTAGACTAGAGGGCGTGTCTGGTTAAGTCTCGGCAATACGGCGACACTCACAAACACTGCTGAATCTGTTTCACTGTACGTGCGAGCTTAGCACAAGCTGCAAGATCTATACTCTGTTTTGGGTCCATATTACATGAGCGAATGACGTTTTACCTTATGATGCACCGCAGGAAAGGCTACAAGCGCGAGCTCCTTGCTCTAGGGCACATCTCGGAGCTCCCAACGCTATGAGCTCGCGCTTCTAGCCTTGTGTCTGCGGTACAACATAAGGTGAAACGGAGTATAGCTCCGGACATTCAACATCCCTGCCAAGTACGTGTTCTCGGGCTGTCCAGCGTCCAGGGCAACAGGCTCGTGCTTGTAGCTTCGGCTTAGGACACACATAAAGTAAAACAAACCCTAGGTGCAACTTTTTAACGGGGGCACAAACCTCAATCTCTGTTCCTCCTAGCAACGCAATATGCGGAGAAACATTTTGGTAACAAGTATGTCGCCTGATGAGAAGCGATCATACATTTCTGAAGACGTTGATTTGGCAGAAAGCTGATTTTTTTTGGTTTTTAAGACAATTGAGTATATATTCGCTTTTCTTTTTCCCCACTTTTCCCGCTATCATTGATCATATTTGCTGTTTTTTATCACAATATTTTTTTTTTGGCAGAATTTGGGAAGGGATATTTTGACCCTCAAAAAGAAACGAGCTCTCCAGAAACCCAATATGACTTGCGTATTCTACCCACTGGTACTCTTCCCACACTACTTCCCTTAATCGTTAGCACTCAGAAATGCTGTTGAATGAGTCGAAATGAATTCAGACCATAATTCTTTTGTCCCTACTCTAATCTGGCCTCCTTTTCCCAACACTACAGTGAGCAGTAGCCTTAGATTTATTTTACATCTAGCAGTTGGACGATGAGACATAGGACTAAATTAAATCACGCTCACAAAGTAGCAAGCCAGAATCACTAAGCTAAGTTAACCTCTTCGTCTTCCAATAAACCAGTTTTTCTCTCTCAAACCACGCTTTTTTTTAACTGTTTTCATTCCATGTTGTTTTTTGTGCTCATGAATTCCTGTCGATGGGAAAGCAGTGCTTGCCCTCCGTCGGAACCAGGGGCGGACGCAGAAATTTTCAGAAAGGGGGGAGGGAGGGGTCAGGTATTGGTCCGTGTATCATGTTTAAGAAACCCCTTGTTTCCATGCCTTAAATTTTTACACATGCAGAATTCAAGAAGGATGTCAAGACATCCGGCTTCCCCCCCCCCCCCCCCCCCACCCCCACCATCTTTCACCCTCGATTCAAACTTGGGGGTGTCGGCGGCCTGTGGACTTTTTGCGTGCTTTGACGCTGTAGTCAACGCCCATCTCTGTTTGGAACAGGTTCGTGCAGTAGAGCCGCGGTGAAAGTGCGCTGCCTCAAATGCAACTTTGGCTCTGAAGCAGCAGCAAATGCCGTCACAAAAGCTTTGAAGGCGGAGCACTGCGGAAGCTACACCAGCTTGATGTAGCACAAAATGGCAATCCATGCAGTATAGACCGTTCCATTAGGGTCATAGCAGAGAGGGTAAAAGAGAAAAAAATGCACTCCCCCTCTCACCCCGCACGTCGTCCACTCCGCCGAGTGGGCTGTAGCTAGCGTCCGGCTGGCGTGCAAACTCTGTTTAAAATCGCGTCATTTTGGAACTTTCAAGCGCAGATGCGCAGATTTTGGTATGCCAGATGTCGTGTATTACTATGCTAGATAAAAAGACTCACAGGGTCCAATTGCGCTGTTACCTGCGTGCAAATGAAAAACAAAAATAGGGAAAACTGTGTCAGATTGGCCGGTCTCTTTAGCAAAAAGTAAATCCGGTTGCTGTACCTTTTTTACTATACAAAAGTTTGTACTGGGGTAGGCGTTTAGCGACCATCAGTGGAAGTCTGAAATAATAAAAAAAACGTGCTCTCCTGCCGCAATACAGGCAGTAGTTGAGGGTAGTACTGCCGGCTGACTCAGCTGCTATTTAAGTAACGGGAAAAAGATATGCTAGTCGATCATTTAGCAAAATAGAACAACAGAGAGCTATAGGCTGATTTTAGAGCAGCCACAACTATTCTAAGAACACGAACCACTTCACAACGGCAGCCACGAGCGAGAGTTCGATGTTCGGTAGAGCCCGCCGATACAGCCCAAAGATGGAGAACGGCAACCTCCCGGTTTGTCGTCTGCTAGCGGAGTCGGGCACGTGCCCTCTCTCTCGTTTTACCCCGCCGAACCCGCTGAACTTCCCGGATGTGTGGAGAGGGCGCTGCGGCCGAACAAAATGGTGCTGCCCACAGAGCGCTAAATGGAATGGTTTATACTATGATGAATGGTGGCATAGCACTGTCAGAAATATTTCGAGCCCACGTTGAAAGCGTGATGCGTAATATTGGGAGGTGTTGAGTTTGAATCCCAGCGCCGCCAATGATTTTGTCTCTCGGCGGCTTCGTAACTTTTGTTCCATTCTATAGGTCGGTCGGTCACCTGCACATTTTCGAGAAAGTAAAAAATGTACATATACAGATCTGTAGCGTCCTAGGGCCGTGTGGTAGATCGTGCCAGTGGGTTTTCTCATCGTAAGAATGCAGTCAATCACTTTCAAACTCGAACGTGCGAGCGCCTCGAAGCTAGACTCGAGTTTTGGGGCCACCATGGCTTCTTTCCAGGTGACGGGTGGACCTTGGTTGAAGGTTGCAAGGAAGGGCAGACCCAGGTGGATCGGCACCGCTGGGAGGAGGACAGGGCGGTCTGGAGCCACCCCATCGACGTACACCTCACCACCCGCGGGATACAAGGTGAGAGAACATGGGCACCTGGGTCGCCGGTCATTATTCCGAGCACACCATCGCAGTCATCTTTTACGACAGTGTGGGAGTTCAAATGGGTTGTTATCACTTGCTCGTATCGTGCTCATGTACAGTGTGTTCCCAAGCACTATTTGGGCTTAAGAAATTCGCATAAATTAACCAAGGAACAGAGCACACTGAAACTTTTCATTAATATGCCTTTAGGTAGTGTATTTAGCATACTTGATTGTGGGTTTGAAGAAAAAAATGGTAAGCCTAAAAAGCCTGTTTTCTGCTTTTTATGCATAGGGAGGAAGGACGATAATAATCCCTTCTCCAGGGATTATTATCGTCATTCTTGTCCAGCTCACTTGCACCTTTGCATTAATTGTACGATCATCATAGGGAGCAAAACTCCCTATGATGATGAGGGAGGAAAACTCCCCGGGTCGCTGCCGCTTTCCCCTCGGCATTCCCCCCGCGTCCCTATCGGACAGGGACAGGGCTTGTCCTTCGGCAACACGCCGCTCTCGTTTCGCCCGTGCGAATGTTGCTCACAGCTTTGCTGCTTGGAGCCAGCGGGCCGCTCGTTGCCGCTGGGCGGTCGCCGTCGGCCTCGGGTGTTAGCAAAGAACGCCACAGACGTACTCCTGTTCCGTTGGTGTTAGGTCACTGAACGGAAGCTTGACCCGAACTCGCTCACGAGAGCGGCATTGCCGTTCATGTTGACAGATCCGACAAAACGATCGCACCACCGCGGTGCTATAACCCGCCGCGGTAACCAGTTTCGATCTCCTAAATGCTACCGATACCGACTATTCACACTTGTCGTCACTCCCTACGTCACCTCCGTTTCCAAAGGCACAGAGATGAGAATGGAGATAGTTCAGCTTCGGTTTCTTTAGTTCTTTTGTAGGCGCAGAAATATGCGTCACAAATGACTACAAAAAATTGGGCAGCATGCTAGGTTCCCAAGAAGCCTAAAAACACCATTTAAAAAAATTAAATAAAATCGCCTTCATTGTCCCTTTAACGCGACGAGCTTTGGGTGGCGTGAAAAATTGTTTGTCATGACCAACCACCATTTGCGCCCGAGAAAGAACAGGTCCATCGCGATTCGCTGCCATGGCCTATCTGGGAACTCGGTCTCTTGCTGAGGCATCTTTCTGTTGGTGCTCTGTTTCAGGCAACTGTGACAGTTCTTAACAAGACATTCAATGTCCGCTTCAACACTCGGCCGCTACATCGAGCTCTTGGCCCATGCTTGACACTTTTCAATTCTGAAGGGCTTCTCATGGACTATTCCAAGGACTGATTGCCTTAGTGTCGCTGGGATCACTATTCTAGATCCGCGCATCAGCACGTTTTTATTTATGGCAATACTTTGCCTCTCCTCCAAGTAAGGCTAATCCAGTATCTCGGCGGCTTGGCCATCCTTTTGCAGACAGGTTGACAGGGCTTGACATACCGGGTCTTGTAGTTGTGCTTCAGTGATCAGTTTCAAGGTGGACACTGTCATCGTGATTGATGATGCCACCCAGAGGAGATAGCCCAGGACGTCATCCTTTAATTCAGTGGACTCCGAATTTTGAAGGTGTGATCGGGAAAGTGTGTCAGCCACCGTCAAGTCAGGCTTGGAACATACACAATGTCATACGTGTAGTGCATCAGACGGATGTGCCTTCATTGCAATCTTGGTGTTAAAGCATCAATCCTTTTAGATTCAAATGAAGACACCAATGGCTTATGATCTGACTCCAGGAAGAAGTGCGTGCCTACAAGGTAGTCACAAAACTTGTCACTCGTTTAGAGGCCTTCTTTTTCAATTTGAGCGTAGCACCTCCCAGATCACTTTGAACTGACCTTTATCTTGTTTTTGGTGAAGGACGGCCTTAAAGGGACACTGACAGGGTATTTATGCTCGCCGAGGTTTTTAGTTGTACGTGACATATGACAGCTCAACTACCCAGAACAGAATTTGCGGCTCGAAATTCGGTTTCTTTCCGCCCGAAAACCGCCGATCAAGAACTGGCCGGTTCGAGTCTCGCTCACTCTCTTTTCCGCGGTCACGGGCCATTTTCTAAGGTATCGATGCAACCACCAAATTTACTCAAAGTCGTGGGTCACTGAAGGCACACACTCAATATTAAAAATAGAAAAAATATGAAACCCATTTTTTGTGGCTTCTAAAAAGCTGTAAATACGTTGATTGAAAAAAAAAGTTCCACAGACAACCGGAAGCATTTTGTGCGTTCGTCGTTTCGCGTATCGTGGGACCACTATTTCAGAACTGTCATTCGCAGTACCGGCGAATTCTGTCTACCGTTAAAAGAGAAATTTGGGACTGATCAAAAGAATTGGTATTCATCCCGTACGACACGCCCGGCCACCAAGCCGATTTGCACGAAGTCGTCGCCGAGCCGTCGCTCCCTTCTCGTGGCTGAAGACATCGCTCGCGCAAACGTCAAGCACGACGTGTCTACTTCGAGTTCAATATGCATGCGTACGATTTCTTTACTAGGTGCGAATGTCCCCAAAGCGTGGTGCTTCCCGACTTCGACCCGGGAGTGCTTTTGCCAGAGAAAAATCGACAGCAAACTTTCCAACTTACAGTTTACCGGCTGAATTATTACTAAGGAAAGAGATCCACCAGAAAAGAGATGCCTTAGTAGCTCAGTGGGAAAGACGTCTGGTTCACACGTGGTAAAACCAAATTCAATCCCCCGTGAAATTTTTTTTTTTTTTTTTTCAAACATTTTCTGATGTTTACATATCTTTTTTTTTTTTTTACAATCATCACTGAAGAAACAAACAAAAAAATAACAAACAAATGTTGTGGACGATACTTCACTGAATTAAATGGTATGGGATTTCCTTTCTGACACCTGCGAACTCAATGTAATCACTTTCCACAAAATGCAAGGAGCATATAAATCAGGTAGCGTCAGCTTTCCGAGGAGCCCGTATACGTTCTACAGGAATTGCAGCCAGCCATTGGTCCCGATCCCGTTGATCTTTCGGAAACTTTGTCGCACAGTGCCACTTTTTTTCGGATGCAGGAAATGTGAGCCAGCTCTTCACGCAACATCTTGGGTGTATTCTTTTCGGAGCTGATCATGGAAATTCACCACGGGCACTCAATACTCATCTCCAACTCCTCAATGTACAAAATAACTAATCTTGGAGTACAGAACAACAAGCGGAGCAAACATAACTGCAAAAGAATCGCACGGCGAGCAGTTCCCGCACGCCGCATCGCACGCCGCATGTTGTGTCGTCTGCTACGGAGAGGAGAAAAAAAAACGCACGGTCGGGTGTAGCCACGTGACTTCCGCCACTCACTTTCTTCTCTCCACTTTTCCGACCTCCGTTGGGTTTCAGTTTCGGTTTCGAGCAGTTGCATCTTTTGGCTTTATTTAAAAAATACGCTACTCTGTTGCAAAATATTCATTGGGTAGTCCTCCGACACCATAATAAATCGCCTGGCAAAAAATAAAAAAAAATTTTGGGGGGGTGTCAGTGTTCCTTTAAGACCATACGTGGAGGCGTCGGCCGATACCAGTCTCCCTGTTGGGGTCGTAGATTCCTAGAATGGGATCTGATGAAAGAAATGTCTTCCACTTCTTGAAGGCTTCCTCTTGTGCAAGGCCCTAAACACACTCCTGTCTTGAATGTATCATAGAAGACAGAGGTTGAAGAACTTTGTCCATACAGGTCACAAAGCAGGCTAGGTAAGTAGCCCATGCAGCATAATTCCGTCTTTGAAGTTGGGTGACGCATCTCTGTCATGGCGCCGAGCTTTTGTTTATTGGGACGTACTTCATTGCTTCCGATTCTGTGTTCCAAGAAGGAGAAATGGGTGACACTGAACTCGCACTTGTCGCTGTTTAGAGTGATTCGAGCTGTCTGGACGGGTTTTAGTGCAGCTCGAAGCCGCTCATCATGCTGCGCTTGTGTCGCTCCCCAGATAAACACGCCATCCATGTGGCAGACGACTCTTTCCAATTCTGACAGGACTTGCCCCATCCGTCTTTGAAAATGCTCTGGGGCCGATGAAATGCCAAAGGGCAGTCTGTTTAAAATAGAATCTTCCAAGCGGCGTGATACATGTTGTGAATTCTTTGCTCTCCTCACTCAAAGGTATTTGCCAGAAACCAGAGTTTGCATCCAGTTTCGAGAATGTCCTGGCTCTGCGCAGCATGCCGATGGTGTATTTTACTGCTGGAATGAGGTGCCATTCCCGTTGTATGTATCTATTGAGTTCCTTGAAGTCTACACAAATTCTAACTGCCACTGAAGGTTTTAGGACGTCTACCATTGGCACGCACCATGTTCTTGGCTCGGTGACAGGAGAGATAATGCCTTGTGCTTGCATCCGTTCCAGTTCTTGCCTGGTCTTCTGAAACAAGAGCAGAGGAATCCTAAGAGGGGACGTCAAAGCGAATGGTTTTGCTTCTGGCTTCAACTTGAGGTTGTATTCCTCTTTGAATGTTCCAAACCCCTGGAACATTTGTGAAGTGTTGGACTGGGGGATCAGGTTTTTGATGCTTTTGATTTGTAAGAGTACGGAGAGCTTTTCAATTGTTGGTCTTCCCAGTAGAGGGGTTCGAAGGCCCCGAACATTTCTTCACGACTGATGTTTCCTGCAACTGTCACGTTCATGGATGCCATCCCTGATATAGCAAAATGTTTGCTGTCTGGTCTTTGAAGCCGGCGCCTTGGGGGCTGAAGTTTTGTCATAAGAAAGACCTGAGCGAAGAGCTCTTCTGAGATGACTGTTTCGTCTGCCCCAGTGGTCATCTTGAAAACCATGTTCGAGGACTCGATGAGAACTGGAACCTTCCACCTTGAGGCAGATGAATGGAATGCAACTCCAAAAAGGCCTGCTTCTTTGGCGACATTGTCCACATATCTGACCCCTTTCGTTGATCGACACACGGCCTCAAAGTGTCCTCTTTTGTCACACTTTTTGCAGACCGCTTCTTTCGCCGGACAAGATGCTCACTTGT